CAAATAAACTATTCATACACTTTAAATATTAATTTGAAAGAAGTTTAACTTTAAAATGAATCATACCCATGTTATGTTCCGCTCAAGTGGTAAAGATGGCCTTCTTTATAGGACTCAATTTTAGGCCAAGTTTGGGAATACTAAATAAGTGTACTTTTTAACTTTTCTTGTATTATATGTAGAAAAAGTAGAGAGGAGATGTTGATTGATGTGACCCAAAAAAGATAAAAAGATGAAATAAGTGCACTTTTTTAGTTTAGCCAAACTTGACCTTAGTCTCAAATCTCATCTTTCCTTGTATATAATTTTTTATTTTAAATATAAATAGAAATATATTTAAAAAATTCAAAATATAAGACTTGGTTTGAAAACATCCCAAATAAGTTATTTATTGATTTATTAATTTATTTCCATCTCATCACCTATTTATTTTTTTACATATTTTTCATAATAAATAAAAAAATAAATTATATCCAAAACAAAACCAATAATAAAGTGAGTGTTTGGGAAGTGAGTTTTTTTCTAGGTTTTTTTAGTTGTAAGATATTATTAGAGAAATTTTTTTTTGTGTTTGGGAAGATAGTTAGATTTTTTTGTGGTTGGATGTGATGTTTGTGAGAGAAAAAGTGAAATAATTATGGAGTTTGATGTGATATTTTGTTTGGATTAGTTTTTTTGGTTTTGTAACCAATTTTTCTTTTAGGGAAGATAAAACAAAACAAAAAAAAAACCAAAAAAATTGTTTCCAAACACCGCCAAAGTTGCAAGCTGCTAAATTGGATAAAAAAATATCTTATGAATGAAGCATTAGAATATCTCTAACGGTTTAGCTTTTTTTCATTAAATTTGAATAAAAATTTTATTTAATATCAAGTATTTTAACGGAAGATTTTGTGCTTTCATCAAAACACCGATCTAACGGGTGGAGGGAAGATAAAACAAAACAAAAAAAAAACCAAAAAAATTGTTTCCAAACACCGCCAAAGTTGCAAGCTGCTAAATTGGATAAAAAAATATCTTATGAATGAAGCATTAGAATATCTCTAACGGTTTAGCTTTTTTTCATTAAATTTGAGTAAAAATTTTATTTAATATCAAGTATTTCAACGGAAGATTTTGTGCTTTCATCAAAACACCGATCTAACGGGTGGACGACTAGGCCGATATTTGGCCGAACCTCCCAGTGTATTTTTTTTTACAAATTTTTACTTAGGGGTGGTCATCTGAGTCCATCTACAATTTGTCTATTTAGGAATAATTTGGAAAATAAAAATTACATACAAGTCAGAGTTAGGGAAAAAAAAATATAAATATATGAGAATCTAACTGCATTTGAGATGAGTGTAAATAAAAAATTGTAGAGTTGTACGTGTCACTTGCACCCCTCTATTTGTTAGTATTTTTTTTTCTTAACTCCTACCTGCATTTTGTTTTCCCTTTGGAAAAAACATATAGAGACAGTTTGATGATTATAATAAAATAAAATATAAATTTTGTTAATTTAAATTATAATATTTTAATTTATTTTAAATTTAAATTATCAAATGCATATGTATATAAAATGTCTAAAATAATATTTTTTATTGAATTTAATAAAAATAGATAAATAATTTAGATTGAAAATAAATAAAAAATTTTGAATTTAAATTAATAAAATAAAAAAATATATATCTATTATAAGGGTCAAATCCTGAATTTTTTTTTTGGATAATTTTTACTTTTATTAATTTATACATTAGGTCTACAAATCCAAAAAATTGACAAAAAATCTACATGGTCCATTTGAAATTCAGGTTTGATTTATGGTTTTATATGAACATAATGTTAGGTTTTTATAATTGGTAATCTCGTTTGACAAAATTTGTTGTAATTTTATTCGTTCTTTGTTTCAGTGAGCCTGTGAGTGTTTAGATACGAATCCAACTCGAATTGTGCTTGTGTAGAGGAATTTGTGCTGACGTTCCGTATTTTGAACATTTCTTATTTGCCACTTCGCTCACTATGTACGGGGCTTGAACGGTCATTTGTACACTCGAGCGGTGAAGTAATACATCCAATATTTGAGTTTGTATTCAAAATTTATGGAAAACTCGTTTTACCGTTCGAGCGGTGGATGTTACACTTGAGCGGTTGGCTTATAAGTTTTGCACCACCTTTACTCACACCGTTCGAGCGGTCTTCGCGGTTTTGTTTGTTATAAAGTGTGTCGTTGCTCGTTTTAGGGTTTAACTCGTCTAAATTATCAGAGAGGATAAAAATACAAATACATTGGATGCTATTTTTATAGAGTCCGGATCCTCTCCAGCCAAAGCCTCTGGCCCTTCCTCCGGTCAAGGGCCACGATTTGGCCACGTCGCTTAAATGAAGGTCTACGGCTCAGATGCAAAAAAAAAAATAATAAAAAAAAATTGAATTTCTTTCATTCAACCCAGCCACAAAGCTTCGAACAACACAGCCACACAGCCTTTTAATTTCTTCAGCTTTGGTGAACGGCGACGGCATCTCGTGACACCGACGACGGCGAATCCAAGTCGGCGGCGAACATCAGTGGGCTCTCCCTCTGTCTTACTCCGAAGATTTGGATTGCGATTTAAGCCGTGAACCATAGTTAAAGGTTAAAAAAAAAAATTATTGTTTCCCCCAAATAATCTCTCGTCCCTTTCTCGTCCCTCACCAGAGATGAAGGAAATCTGAGATGGAGAGACCACCATTTTAGGTTGAAATGTTTAGTGAAATTGAAAAAATTTGAAATGGTTGTTTTCTGGGATTAAAATTTTCTCGTCCCTTTAGGTTAAAATGTCTCGTCCTTCGACCACCATTTTAGGTTAAAATGTTTAGTAAAATGTTCTCTTGTGAGTTGTATAGTTTTGCTGGGATTAAAATGGTTGTTTATCTAAGAGCCACTGTGATGCCCCAATTTTAAAGCAAGCTAGTTTTGCTGGGATTAAAGTGGTTGTTTATCTAAGAGCCATTGTGATGCCCCAATTCTTCTTTGATTTGTTTGTTAATTTTTTTTTAAATCATTTAGTTAATGACTTAATTTGTGATTGTTTGAATATAATTTGAATATTCTCTCATTGAATTGCTGATGTGAGAATTATACTTGAAAACCTAGTTGACATACAAATATGAATTTATGTCCTAACATCAATGATCCAGTATTATGATTCAAAATTAGGCCAGGTGAGAGATTGGGAATTCATTAGGTTAATGGGGTTGTCTCTATTTTGTGGAGTTTGCAGTTGAATTTTTTATTTTAATTATATGTTATTATGTTTAAATAAATGTGTATATTGTGCATTGAATGTTAACATAGCATTTCACAAGAAAGTATTGAACTCCACAGATATTCTTCCATAAGGGCCTTGGGTTGGATATTTGAAAGTGTTTTCTAGAAAATGAAAAAAGAAAACAAAAAAACAACCAAACAACCAAACAAATGTTCTACTTCCATAATTCACCTAATAGCAGAAGGGTGTTTTTTATATTCTATTGATTCAGCAGTGCCAATGTGATTGTTCATGTGCAAACAGAAACATCCACAACGGAGACAAAACTCATAAGCTGCTATATTATGTGTTCATGTGCAAACTCATTTATTGTTCTATTAACTAAAAAAGAATAGTTTGTTTCATTCTCTCTTCAAAACTAACAGTATTTGATTTGCTTGATGGTGTGAAAACTCTGCTTAATTAATGATATGCTAAATTCATTACTTTATAATAATAAAGTAGTTCCTCTTAGGTGTGTGCAAAACTACGATGACAATAGGAAAACTAAAGGAGAGTGGAGGGAGAAGAATGAGTATTAACAGAGCTTAACTCCATTTCATCATTTCAAATATTATGAATTTCAGTCCATATTTCAACACAACGATAGGTCACACCTCTTTTTGCTTGTTTCATTGTTATCTTTACGGGTCTTTCAGGAGATCTAAATACATTATATTTTCTTCCACATTTTTGCTTGGACTTTTCCAAAAAACAACAAATCAATATATGCTGTTAGTTTTTTCCTGTTTAAGAAATTTATTGTCATGTTTTCAACATCCAAGGTTGCAAAAGCTCTCATAGGAAAAATTTTACCCCAATCTACATTAAATCAATTATTAGACCACGGTTCAAATTAAGTTCAAATCACTATTTAAGATGAGACAAAACTCATAAGTTGTTATATCATGCAACTCAAATTTATTGTTCTATTAACTAAAAAAGAATAGTATTGTTTGGTAAGAGTTCATGAACTAAAACATTATACTTTTGTAGTGTATAACATTTATACTTTTGTAGTGTAAACAAATTTTAGTAAGAGATGTCTTCATGTGCTTTGCTATTTGATAATTTTTTGTAGGTCAATGTCAATGTCAAGCACAAATGCAAGTATCGACAACATGCATGAAGTTAGATTCGACAACCGCAATTGTCGATGTGGCAAAAAAGCTATGGTTAAGATTTCTCAGTCAATGGATAATCCAAATTGCCTTTATTTTGTATGCCCCAATTCACCGAATGGTTGTAAGTTCTTTGAGTGGTGGATCCCTCCACATATGCAGCATAATTTGAAGGTGGTCAAGAATGATATTCTTGAAGAACGCATGGAAGTCTTGTCTATTCTTAGAGAAGTAATTATCTTGTATGTAATGTAAGGTAGAATGAGTATGACTTGTATTGTAGGTTGAATGTGTATGTAATATATGGTGGACCACTACCATTTTGTTCAAGTGGTAATGAATGTAATGGCATTTTTTGTTTGATGAAGTGGCAGTGATTTATTTGCTTAAGAGTTAAATGTAATGGCTTGTGACCTGCTTGTGAATGGGTATGAATGAGTATGATTTATTTACCATACAACAACTAAATTGAACTCCAACGAACAACATCAATGCTAATTAAAATGCATTCATAATGGTAATTAAATACTTCAACAAGTTTTGTGCAACATCAACATCAATATCAATGTTAAATACTTCATTCATAATGGTCCAAAGAACAATTTCACCATTCATGCAAATCTCATCCCAATTAAAATTCATTCATAATAGTCACTACAAAAATTCAACATGAAATTTGAAGTCACTACAAAGCTTCACTACAAAAACATAATAGATGCATAACAAATGGTGTGTTGCTGTTGCACATCAGAGGCATCTCCTATACATGGAATTTGAAGTGCCTTCCATCTCTTCATGGCCATCCAAACCCTGGAAAAAAAAATTTGACAAACAGCAAAAATTCAGCCACCAAAACAGTATTTTAGCAGCACTAAAACTATATTTCAGCACTAAAACTATATTTCAGCAGCACAACATGACAGTATTTCAGCACCAAAAAAATGACCAAAATACAGCAACTCAACAACACAAATTCAGCACCAAAAAGAGCATTTCAGCAGCACAAAATCAGCACCAAAAACAACATTTCAGCAGCACAAAATCAGCACCAAGATAGGCTTGATCTCCCATACTTTCCATGCAAAGATGAGTAAATCCAAAAATAAATAGACTTTACCAAACACCTGGGGGGATGGGGGAGATTAATTTGACATGCAAAATGAAGTTTAAGGCTTTCTACTGCCACAAAAATTTCAATGACTTTAAAATGCCAACAATCAGATGCAAGCATGGATTTCTACTTGCTTTCTATAAGATGTCAAGAGTACCATTCAATCTAACCAAAAAATAACACATGGAAAAAGAAGAAAACAAGTGCACATGACGGAATAGTTACTTAAGAAAGTAAAGTGAACAATGCATGGAAAGACAAGAAAATTCAAAAACAAACTTGTGTTGTTTAGGTTTATTCTTCAAAATAGAAGGCATAAAAATGAATATGTGCAAACTCTTTTGACAGCAGAATGAATTGGGTATACTTGACATGCCTACAGATTCACTTGTTATGAGCACACAATTTAAAATAGAACAACTAGTCTCCAAAGCCTCAAGAAGAAATTTGAATGCAGACAATATTACTGTTTATTATTTTTTTGGGGTAAAAATGTTCTGTTTCCTCTTGTTTGCTAAATATCATGTACATGCTTTAGGAAAGAATATGTGTACTTCTAAATTGTTTCAAGTTCAAAAAATTAGTACAGGTGGAAAATTCTGACAAATATAGAAGCTAATAAAAGCTTAGAATCTCAAAAGATGCTAAAAAAAATAACTATAATAAACTGAGGATAAAATTACCTCCATAAGCGAACGTAACTGGCAAACAACCAAAAGTTATTTGAACATGGCAGATTTGAACATGGCAGGTTATTTGCGGAAAAACGCTTTGAACATGGCAAGGAAAAATGCTTTGAACATGGTAGATTATATGGGGAAAAATTAAGGAAAAAAAATATTACCTTCAGTTTGATGACGAAGTGCAGCTCTGGTTCGCGGAGTCGCCGGAGCTTGGTTCACCGTCGATGTTCGCTGCCGACTTCGATTCTGCGCCGATCATTCTCGATGTTCGCCATGGACTTCGCCAATCGTCCTTCGCCAGAGCTTCGAAGAAGGAGGGAAAACAAACTCGTGAATGGGAGGGAAGTTGCTGCTGGGTTGAATGAAAGAAATTCATTTTTTTTTTTTTGCATCTGAGCCATAGATCTTCACTTAAGCGACGTGGCCAAACTGTGGCCCTTGACCGGAGGAATGATCGGAGGCTTTGGCTGGAGAGGATCCGGACTCGTTTTTATATGGGTTTCTTTGATGTATAGAAAGTGATTGATTGATCAACGAACTATAGTGTCAAACATCAATAGTTGATTTTGTTCTTTTATTCACATAAAGAGAGATGTGTTCACCTGTAGATTTCAGGAAACTTGGGCTTGCAGCTTTGGTGGATTTTGGCGTGACTTATTGTCGTAGATTCAACATTGGCGTTGTGGATTCAATATTGGACAAAGCAATTTCGTGGTGAAGACGGTGTTGGAAGAAACACATTGGGTTTGGTTCAATTCGGGTATAGATTCATTAGGTAATTGAGGATACTCGTGTGTAATTCCTTTTTATCTTTTTAGGATATTGTTTTGTGATTTTTTTATCACAATTGGAGGTGTTCCAATTATAATTTTTTTCACGTTAAATCGTTATATTAATTTGTCGTTGATTGTCTGATTAAGATTGATATTTATTATTTTGAATTGAAACATAATCGCGAATCAATAACACGAGAATTTTTAGATTCTTTACATAATTTTTTGCAGTGTATTTTGCATTAGTTATATCAAGTTTTTCAAGTTTTGTATCATTTTATTTCTCTCATGTATGAAAAATGAACCTATATGCATTGATTTATTTAACTATAAAAATTGTACAAATATCTCTTCCTTAAGGTGGTTTGGAAGAGTAAAAACAATACATCTTTATAATTGAATTAATAAAAATATATATGTTTTTAAAAGAGGGATAAAATTAACAATTGAGATAGCGTTGGTGTAATGTATCCTAGTATTTTGTATAAAATAATCTAGAATTTTGTGAATTTTTTATTTTAAATTAAAATACCTATTTTTGTAATTTATAATTTAAAAACTATGACTAACACCATTTTTATGATTTTGCTGAAACATAATTTTATTTAACGGTCCAGCTTGTCTCTAGTTGGAGATTAAGACTGGACCGTCCAGTCTAGCATGTGGGTTTATTTTTTAGTCCCGTTTCGATAATATGAACTATTCGATATGTAGAATTCATCAAGTACTAATAGCTATTTGGTCAGATCAATTTTGTATAAAAAAAATGAACGGTAAAACAATAAATTGTTGATAGAAATCTGATCTGATCAAATAACTATCGATATCCGATCAATATGATATTTTACAAGAGTATAATAATCAACCCATTATATATATTGAACGGTTCAAATTAGGGGTGGGCGCGGGTCGGTTGCGGCCACGGAACCTCCAATCTGCCATCCGTCCGCCAAATTGGCGGATTGGAGAAAATCAATCCGCATCCGTCTGCCAATCCGGCGGATGTGGATTGAGCGGTTTGGCGGATGGATGCGAATCGGTTTGGCGGTTTAAGATTTTATAAAATTTTAACATAATTCAACTTGTGCACTTCCTCAAAAAAAAAAAGAGAGAAAAAGAAAAAGTATTACAGTCAATGACTTAAAAAACTATTAAAATTACTGTATGTCTCATCCAAAAAAAGAAAGTTTGAAACTTTAGAATATCACAATCACTGCATGGCTCATCCACGTATTACAATCACAGCATGATTCATCCACATAAAGTATTACAATATTTGGTTCTTAAAATATAATAACAATTCAAACTACTAAAACCATGAACAGGGCAGTAGTATAGATTGTATGCCTCTGTATTGTTACATCTATATATGTTTTTGAAAACAAAAACCAACTAACATATATCATATTTTCTATTTATTATTTTTAAAGTCAAATTTAAAAACCAAAAAATATAGATAAATAATACGTTTATTTTTTTCAATTCAAAAAATATATTCAAGTTGAAAACTTTTTTTCAACAGAATATTTAAACTCTTTTTCAATTGAAAACACAAACAAAATATTTAAATAAATTGAAAACATAAAGTCTTATAAATTATTAGGGGTGCTCGCGGTTAGGCGGTTCGGTTGCGGCCAAAGGAATCTCAAATCCGCCATCCGTCCGCCAAATTGGCGGATTGGAGAAAATCAATCCGCAACCGTCCGCTCGTCATCACGCATCCGTCCAAAATGCGGCGGATCGGTTCGGTTCGGTCGGTTTTGGCAGATCGGTGTATCCGCTGCTCACCCCTAATTTTTATATAGTAAAATTCATACTTAATCTCAACCACACATTAGTTTTCTAAATCAATTCATCACCCAAACTATTTACTATTCTTTTAAGTAATATTCACTTTTTCAAAACTCGTCCAAATAATACTCTGATCGAGCTCATCATCATCCTTGTTGTTGTCATGTTCACCACTAGGGATGGTAATTTGAACCCGGCCCGACGGGGACCCCCCGACCCCGATTAGAGTGGTTTTTCCTCAAAAAATACTTCCGACGGGCCGGGGATGATATTCAAAAATGAATCATCGATGATTTTCGAGTCGAGACGATGATACATTTCTTAGCCTCATTTCTGGCCCGTTCCAAGCCTCGACCCCTGTCCCGTTTCCCTCGCAAAGTAAAATTACGATTATACCTCTGTCTATATATATGTGTGTGTCTCTATTTTGTTGACTCACTTTAGGGTTTGGTTGACAGACCCTCACACACGGCTGCTGCTCCCTCACACACGACTTCGTGTGAGAAAAATAAAGATAATGGTAGATAGACACTTACATTTGGTTGTTGCTCCCTCACACACAGCTTCACATGAGAAAAATAGAGAGAATGGAGAGAGAGAATGAGAGAGAGAAGAGAGTCGCCATGGACCTCACCTTGCCCTCTTCACAGCACCGCTTCTCTATCGACTCTTTCACCGATCTCCTCCGCCGCTTCTCTACCAACTCCTTCCCGACCCATTCCATTTTTCTTTATTCCTCTCTCTCACTCTCTTTCTCTATGTGTTTTATATATATACATATTATAGATTGCAGCTCAAATCTATGAGATCTACGATCATGATGATCTGTTGTTGTTGATTTTTTTTTTGATCTGTTGTTGATTTTTTTTTTTTTCTATTGTTGTTTTTTTGTTGATTTGTTGTTTGTTGATCTCTCTCTTTTGCCATGTTGATTTGTTTTTTTTTTTAATCCTCCGTAAAGTTTCAAAGTAGTTTTCAAAAAAAAAAAAGGTCAAGGATTTTTCGACGTCAAGGAAACCTAATCCCTGTTAGGGGGCGGAGACGGCGGGTGATGGGTTCCTCGCCGAGATCAGGGGCGGGGATAGGAACAGGGGCAGGGACGGGAACGAGGAATTTTGTATCTTCAGGGATTGGGGGGACGGGAAGTGCAATCCCCGGCCCTGGCCCGACCCATTGCCATTCCTACTCACCACCTCCACTAATCACTATGCAACTCTGGTATAGTTTTTTATATTTGCAAATTTAGAAAAACAATGTTAGGGAAATGAAAAGGTACCGTTGGAGTTTTAAAGAGTTAAAAATAAAAAATAAAAAAAAAAAGTGTGGTTTTAGTTTTTCATATATGGGTGATTAATTTTTTTTTAAAATCAATAAATTATGGAAGAGTGTTCGTTATTTAAAATTTTATTTATTGACGGGCAAGTCAATTAAATATTTTTAATTTTTTACAAATAAAAAAATTCAAAAAATTGTTAAAATTTTTTTAAAAAAAATGGCCAAATTATAAAGAACAATATAAGATACCATATTCTATTAAAAAACTCATAACTGTATTATCAATTTACATATATAAAAAATAATAATAACAACAATATAAAAAATACACAAACATCCACCAAAAAAATAAAAATAAAACTTCAAATTAACTCTCAAAACAAAGATAGTTAAACATACATATATACATATATATATATATATTATCAATTTAGTTGGGAAAAAAAAAGTCATATAGAGAAAAAAAAATACTCACACAAAAATAGAAATTTACAAAAAAAAAGAAGAAACAAATAAATTTGAAATAAGTTTGGACTATTGACAAAAAGAGAGACTAATCTTTGCATCATTACATTTGGAGAGGAGTTGGCCGAACTGAAAAAAAGATCAAATATTGACTATTCTAAAGAGAGAATTGTATTAAATTTTTAATTTGATTGGGTTTTTAAAATTTTAGGATTTATATTATTTTCGAAAAAGATGAGAGTGACTTACTATATTATTTTGAATTTTGAAATTTAAAATCATAGATAATTAGTACTTTTATTGTTTCTTTATTTGAATTGTTTTGATCAATATTATTTTTGAAAAGAGTGAGAGTAACTTTTGTTGTTGATTTTTTTTTTTTTTTTATCTATTGTTGTTTTTTTGTTGATCTGTTGTTGTTGATCTCTGTCTTTTGCCATGTTGATTTGTTTTTTTTTTAATCCTCCGTAAAGCTTCAAAGTAGTTTTCAAAAAAAAAAAGGGTCGAGGGTTTTTCGAGGTCAGGGAAACCTGATCCTTGTTAGGGGGCAGAGACGGGAGGTGATGGGTTCCCCGCCGAGATGAGAGGTGGGGACAGGAGCGGGGGCAGGGACGAGAACGAGGAATTTTGTATCTTCGGGGATCAGGGACGTGAAGTGTAATCCCCGGCCCCGGCCCCGGCCCGACCCATTGCCATTCCTACTCACCACCTCCACTAATCACTATGCAACTCTGGTATAGTTTTTTATATTTGCAAATTTAGAAAAACAATGTTGGGGAAATGAAAAGGTACCGTTGGAGTTTTAAAGATTTAAAAAAAAAATGAAAAAAAAAAAGTGTGGTTTTAGTTTTTCTTATTCCATATATGGGTGATTAATTTTTTTTTTTAAATCCATAAATTATGGAAGAGTGTTCATTATTTAAAATTTTATTTATTGACGGGCAAGTCAATTAAATATTTTTAATTTTTTACAAATAAAAAAATTTGAAAAAATTGTTTAAAATTTTTTTAAAAAAATGGCCAAATTATAAAGAACAATATAAGACACCATA